CAAAAGCTACAACTCTTGTTGCATAGGTCCTGCTTTACCTTGGTCTTAACCATCCAGCAGAAAAGTATAAAAATGAAGTATAAAAAGTAAAGCCATGCTGTTATGTTGAGCTGTCAGGGACTCAGGTCAACAATTTCTAACACTGCCATTCAAGCAGAAGACCCAACACTATTATGGACTACTGGACTCTTTTAGAATATTTTGCTGAGTTTACACACCTATAATATTCAAATGACAGAACTGAACAAAAAAGGGGATACAGATGAATGTCCATTTAATATCTGTGTATTCAAAATGGTTAGGATAGATATATAGTTACATTCTCTTAATGAATAGAGGGATTTGTTCTAATAGTGTTTATAGATAGGATATCATATCTGCATCTTGTACAGCAAATAACCACTAGGAAAAGAGTGTGCAATGTGTTAATTATTGAAACTGTCCTACCAATTTGATTTGAAACTGTCTCATTGCTATGTCTCTCAATAAAATTATGGAAAAAAAATAGGTAAGACAGTTACAATAATTAATACATTGCATATTGTTGTCTTCATAGTGGTTATGCAGAGGTCAAAATGCAGCTGCCATACATTTTTGCTAAATAAAATTACTAAGTAACTACCACTGATGAAATCTTTAATGAAGATTTTAAATTCTTATGTATTATAGAACTTCACCAACTTGTTTGGACAGCCCCTAGTCTGTTTGCTTTCTCCTACGGCATATCCAAAAGCTTTACAAGGTACGTCTTTCGGTGCCTGTTACTGAGTAGTACATGAATGGATTCTACATTTTGAATACTGTTGATGTTTGTTTTTACCTCCCATAACCATTATGTATGGATTGACGGTGCCTAATGTGGCAGGTATCAATCTGAAATATGTCTACAAGCCTTGCCAACAGCCAGACTTCTCTAATGTGTTAGATTTAGGCCTGGAGATAATTCCTTCTTGAGAGAGGTGGTTTACTCCCTTGCTGTGGGGAATTCATGATTTATAAATCTGAAATTTTGTTTTACAAGTGTTTATTTTGATTTGCTTGTCATAGCCATGTAGCCTGATTTTCTTTCTTTAATCACATATTTTAGACATCTTTTAAGATCTTAAGATTAGTACTCTAGGACATTTCTCAGCCTATCCCTGAGAGTTAAGAGTATCCTAATTGGCACAAGTTAAAGGTTTCTTTTTCTTTTTTTTTAAATCTTGTTTTACTTCTTAAATAAAAACCTCTTCTGAGTCTGTCAAAGAGACAAATTAGTGTTTGGGTCATTTTTCTAATGGCTGAGAATTGAAAGACTTTTTTTCTCTTAGTGATGTCCTTAATAGGTAACATATAAAACCTGATTCTAACTCCCAGTCATTTAGTAGGTAGAATACTAAAAGAGCCTTCACGCTGTTTTAGCAGTACTTGTCACTGTTTCACTATCTCCCTAACTGTGAATAGTGCTGATGTCTCTCTGGGAGATGGCATTTTACTGCTACTTCCCAGCCAGAAGTCCTGTCTGCTGACATAGTTTGACACAGGAAGTGATGGTCAGCATTTGAATACCTGAGAGAAGCTGGAGACTTTCACCGTTGTTTTAAGGTAAGTTCTGCTGTTTAAAAGGGAAAAAAAAACACATAGAAATTCTAAGTTTATATACTCAAAATTCAAATTACAAAGGGATAGAACTTACCTTCAAACAACGGTAAAATTCTCCTGCTTTGAGGATTTTGTCATCCTATTGTCATTTCTGGAGGAATGTGAACCTTTTCAATTACTTAAGAGTGCTTTTTGCTCTCAATCTGTGCTATGATGATGTAGTTTTGTTTTAAATTACATGGTCAAATGAGTTAATACCAAGGTTACTGGGTCTGAAATACTATTGTGTGAAGGCGAACAGGCCAAATGAATTTGACCTAGCTACTTACTAGCTGTGTGACCTTGAGAAGTTACTCAGGCAGTCTATGCTTCAGTTACCTCATCTATCAAATGGAAGTAATAGTATTACCTACCTCAGAAAACAATACTGGGTACGTTAAAAAGCACTCAGTGTGTGCTTTTGTTATTATTATTATTACTATGCTTATTTTTAATACATACTCTTAGTACTTTTCTGGCTCAGTATTTTTGTGCTATAAAGATCAGACCTCAAATATCTTAACTGAGTCATTCGATTACATAGATTCAAATTTCCCTTGTGAGAAAGTTGGGAATTTTCCCATGACATTGTTAATAGCTCTCCATCTGGGTACCAAATGGAAGGTATTTAAGTAATTGGAATGTCTGATACGGTTCCTGCACTTTGTATATATCTAAAGCCTATATTTCTTTCATTAGTTAAAACTTGCTTTACTTTCTCAACATGATTACTCAACACCAATTTACCAGGCACCGTGGTAGGCATCAGGGTGAGCACTCTGATCTGATAAGACCTAGTTATATTTCTCCCAGAGCCACAGTCCAGTAGAACATTGAGACGACCTACCAGACAAGTACTGTAAATGATAGTGTTTCATAGGAGATAACAGAGCAGCACACACAGGGAACTTCTAAGCAGCACAAAAGGGTAAAGTGGGGGAGGAGATGATGGCTATCCAGTGCATGCAGAATAGGATGGCAGTAAAGGGTAACTGAGTACAGTGTTGCAGCAGAGAAACCACATGTGCTAAGGCACTGAGGCAAAAGAACTGAGGCAACACTTCGAGAAATTAAAGTAGCTCCTTCTGTATGAAGGATATTGAGTGACTGAATGTTGAAAAACCTTCTAAGATTCATTAATGTGGTTTAGTGGAGGACAGTGAGCTTGTTAAGAGGGGAGCTTTCAGTTAGCCTCTCAGAAAATAGAATGAAGAGGGCCACAGGTGGAAGTAGAGAGATGTTGGTGGCCAGAGGTCAGACAGTGACTAGACAGCTGCCTTCAAATATCCTAAGCGCAATGAACAGTAGCACTGTGATGGGCTGGATGTGGGAGGAAAATCAAGAAGGCAGGAGCATAGGTTGAGTCTCTGGCACTGGTAGAAATCAGATTTGATGGGAAGTATGTTTGCGGAAACTTTATAAAGGGGTAAGAATTTGCTTTCAGTTATTCACATACCGAGTTTGAAATGCCTTTGAGAGTTAAATGTATATCAACCCTGCCTGATAGAAATGTAGAATGACTACAGTACCTGCTTTGCAGTGGGGCTGGTGTTGGAGCTGACAATTGAATGCAGAGCCTCTCACTGAGCTGTATCTCCAGGCCTGACTTGCTTGCTTATTTATTTATTTATTTATTTATTTATTTAGACAAGCTCTTGCTAGGCTTCCCAGGGTAGTCTCAAACTGGTAAGCTACCTGCCTCAGCCTCCCAAAGTGCTAGACTTATAGACATATGCCACCATGCCCAAGTACCACACTTTATTTTATTTGCGGTACTGGGGATTGAACTCAGGACCTTGCACTTGCCAGGGAAATGGTTATTCTACTGAGCTATCTCCCCAGCCCCCTGTACCACACTTTAAAAATTAAGTTACACATAGGAATGTTTTTGGATGGCATGGGATGGATTTCCTGGAAGTGCTGCTTGAGAGGCTGTGTGGTCCTGGTTGTCACAGAAGGAAGTCTGGCCGACTGCAGAGGTATGAGATCTACATCAAGTCTTGTGCCAGCCCAACTTCTTGGTTTCCCACCAGGCGTACTTGGGTCTCAGTGTGCAAAGAGCTGCTGGTTGTGGGCAGTGCCCAAGGAAGTATTTGGGACAAGTTGCTCATCAGCTGCAAGCCTAATTCCAGAAAAATTACTCCTCTTTCAACATTTTGGATGGAGAAGAGTCCATTACTAGGCCATTTTCAAAACATTTTCCCACATAAAGCCCAGGCAACTAAAGAGCTCAGAAAAGAAATGGAACCCACTTTCCCTGGTCATTTCAATATTACAAATATTGATAGGACCCTTGCAGTTATATATAAATCAAAGTCATTCAGAAGACAGTTCATAGTCTGAGGACAAGGATGAAGAGTGTCATTATCAATGGCATTAAACTTCTTAATTTAAAAGATAGAAAGGCAAGATTCCAGTTTTTTAAATTAATTTTATTGAGAAATAAATAGCAATGAGACAGTTTCAAAACAGGTTGGTAGGACAGTTTCAATAATGAATACATGTATATTGTTGTCTTCTTAGTGGTTATTCATAGTACAAGATGCAGACATGATATCCTGTCCAAACACTTTTAGTACAAATCTTTCTTCTCATAAGATTAAAGTTTTGAACAGTACAGAAATTAAAAGCAAGGAATAGGGAAATAAATTATTTAAAAAGAAACAGGTGGTACACACCTCATAATTCCATGAAAAATAATGCAGCTCTGGATGGTTTGTACTTCTGGTATCTATGGTGCTCTTATATGTTAAAAGAAAAGTTTGCAAAATCTAACAGTTTGAGTGAAGAACAACTCATGAATCAGCACTTAAAATGGAAAAGTGGTTTAGAGGAACTCTGCTGTGTAGAGAAGGCAGCATGCTTATGTAACTAAACACAAGATAACTCAATTAGTTACAGTGTGCCCTTTGCTATAGCTGGGCATGCTCTGTTGGCTGCTTGGAGTTGTCTGAATCTCAGCTGTTTGTGTTTGAAACCCAATTCTTTGTTAACAAAAATACACACCTATTTCAGTTGTTAAGAACTTTTCTTTCTCAGTCAAGCTATGTACTAAGATTATCTTTTAAGTTTTGCGTATAGGATGACTCTAGTTAACAAATAGTAATTTCAAAATAAAAGCTCCTGAATGTTTCACTACAAATGACAAATGTTTTAAGTGATTAAGTATCTTAATTTCCCAAATATGATCATTACACGTTTACAGATACCAGAACAACATATTCTGTCCCCCAAATTTGAAGAATTATCTGTCAGTTTTAACAAAGCAAAGAAAAGATACACTCCCTTAAAAAAAAAAGTCAGGCATGGTGGTGCATGCCTTAATCCCAGTTACTTGGAAAGCTGAGGCAAAAGTATCATAAGCTCAGAACTACTGGGCACTTTAGCAAGATCTTGTCTCAGAACTAAGAAAAGGCAATGGACATGCAGCTCCACGTGAAGGTCCTCAATTCACCCCCTAGCACCTTCCTCACCACAGAAGAAGAGGGTAAAAAGCAAATGAAATGAATGTTAACAATATTTTTTTATACTAAGGTTTTGAAATCCAGTTTGTATTTAGAGTGTCTCTAGGTTGCATGCATATTGAGAATCATGATTCAGTAGGCATATAAATGGTAACTAAAATCTTATGTACAGATGAGATCAGCAGAGTGCCAGAGAAAGAAAATGTTGATATTTAAGGGATAGGCAGCAGAAGAATAACTAATAAAGGAGAATGAAGAAGATTGGCAATTCTAGTAAGCTTTAGAGACTCACAGTCATTAAGTCATGCTTGTCCTATTTGGATAAAATTTGTTAGTTGGGAATAAAAAATAGTAAAGAATATGTTATTTTTCAATTTCTCTTACATTTACCAGGCTCTGTCTTAAGTTCAGCAGAAGGCAATATGCATAGATTATATTTTTATAGTTTTGTGGAAAATCTGCACTGTTGGATATGTTTTAGTGATATAGCTTTAACATTACCAGCGAATTTAAAATGTTCCTCGTATGAATATGTTAACCTTCAAACTGTTATCTCTCTATATATAACATGTTTGTTATTGCAGATCAATCTCAACGAGGTAGCCTCTTCACTCTCTTTTTGAACAACCCTCTAATGGCCTTCCTGTTTGTCTCTGGATTGTCGAGCATGCGTAGAGGTCTATGGGAAAAGTGCCAAGAATATCTTCGAAAAATCAACCGTGATATTGCTCAGCTACTGACCCATTCACGTTCAATAGGTACCCTAGTAATCTAACTGCACACCTAACAAAATATACTATAATGACTTAAAATGATTACTTATTTTAAGTTGTTTGAGTCTTTAAAGGTATTTGTCCCAGGCTGGAAAGTCAAGAAGGCTTTCCTGAAGTTGCCTCCCCTTTGAAACCTAATTTCTATATAAGCCTCCTTTTACTGTCACCTTTTCCTCATTGCAGATCAGGCATTTCTCCAGTTTTTTGGAGATGAATTCCTTCGCTTGCTTCTCACAAGATTTATCTTTTGTTCAGCCACCATGAGGATGCACAAGATTTTTCGGGTAGGTAAAGTATATTACTATGGGCCAGGAAGATGGCTCAGTAGGATAAGCGCTTGACTGGCAAACACAAGGATCTGAGTTCAATCCCCGGTTCCGCAAAAAAAAAAAAAAAGAATATTACTAAAGACCAGTTTTTCTATAAGAATCATGCATTATACTTTATTTGTATTTGAAGAGTTTAAATAGATCCAAAATGATGTTTAAAAATAAAGATTAATAATATTAAGACAATTCTGAGTACCTACCATCCTATTCAAGATCATTTGCATTCCTTTTGAGGCCCTCTGTAGGTTCTGGCTGATGCTACCTCTGTCAAAGTTTCAGTGGCCATCTTGAATTTTATCATTATTATTTGCTTAGCTTTATAGTTTTGTCAAGCATATTTATATTTCTGTACAACATATGAAAGCTTCTGTATTGCTTTTTTCCAATGAGAGTTATTCTTGAAGTTAAACCATATTGGTAACTATAGCCTTCACTGGTCCTGACTATACATCACAGATTACCAATACAGTTTGACTCAACTTTTTATTATTAAATAAATGATGCCACTATGAAATTCTTGTATCAGTTTTCTAGTACAGATAACCAAGATTTTCTCTGGAGATATGCTCAGTAGGTCAGAGAATATAAGCTCATATAACTTTTATGAAGTAATGCCACAGTGTTTTTCAAAACAGGACCCTCAGTTTCCCTCACACAAGCAGTGTGTAAGAGCCTCACTCAGCTTTCTTTGCAACATTTATTGCTGTTGTACTATAAATTGTATGTGACCTGGAAAGTTTAAAGTAGTAAGTCCTTGTAGTTTTAATTTCTATATCCAGAATTACTATTGAAGCTGAGCAATTTCTCTTTTAAGTCTTATTCTACATTTCTCTTTTCATAAATTGTTTTGAAGTCTCTTACTTGACTTGATAGTTTGTTTTACTTCTTCCCCTATATATTCTTATATTATACAATATAGTTCATTGAAGTTTTAAAAATATTAGCCATTGTACTCTTTTTTGGTAATATTT